CAAATCAGGTCATCGTCCATACCGCTCAAAATGGGCTTTTCCTGACCTGGACAATTATCCCGAGACTTCAATTTTACACTTCTTCTTGATATTTAGCACATCAATACGGGAAATTCTTTTCAAAACAACAACTGAGAATGCCAAATAGTCAACTGACTTGAATAATGAGAAAACGAGAGGGTTGTAGTTTTGTTGGCCAAAATCTTAACACCTAGCATAGGTATTTGCAAAATTCACCGAATTTTTTCTTTGCCAGTTTAAAGCGTGAATACGCAGACGTTAGTTTTTAAAGTGATTTGACAAAATTCCTTACAGGGGAAATGGCAAGAGTAAAGCCTTCAACCTTTTTTTGCTTATCGCAACAATTAATTATTTTTCGCTTTAACAGAAGACGTCCATTTTTTGTCAGATGAAAAATCATCCACTTGTAGGCAGCACTTTGATTGCAAGAAAATGTGATCAAAGCAGTAAGAACACCCTTTTTTCCTTCTTAAAGGAGAAATATTTTTAGATAGTAAGTCTCATCTGTTCTAAGGGCAGGGGGACTTGGGACTTCTCCCCCTTTATGGGGTGTTAGATTCCATGACAAATTGTTTGGAAGGTATTTGCAAGCAGACGGCATTTCTAATAATCCTTTTCGTGGGACTAAACACATAAATACTGAATAATTCAGAAGGTTAAAAAACCAATTTTTTTATAATTTATCTGACTTCTAGATTATGCGGAATGTCTGACGGAGTCTCGAGTTCAGTCCAGGAGACAATGATTTGGCCTCCACACACGTACACACACAGAGGCATCTTCCATCGGATGGATGAATGTTTCACATCTTTACTTTTGGAGGGCTTCGGCCCATTTCAGTAATTCTTGTTTAAAGAAGGCCTTGGCTGGTGTCACAAAAGGACGAGCCTTTCTTCTTATCATTGACTTAATGAATAAAAAAGACTAATTTTTCTTAATCAAGTTAAATAAAGCAAAGAAAACTTGTATACTCAACACAAAATTGCTGGTGTATATTGCATAGAGCTCTCATCGTGGAGGCCAAATTCATGGCGGAGCTACGGTGACGTTTTTTTCCTTCTGCCGTGAAAGTCAAAGCAAATTCGAGTTCAAACAGCTACTTATTTGTGGACGATTTTCCCACTAAGTTTACTGAATTGTATTTGTGTAGCTAAAGCATCATTTCACCATGTAAAATACATATCCAAGACAGGAGACAAAAAAATATGCAACGCCATTTTTGGCCGTCCAAAATGTCCAAATGTGAAGCGCTCCCGTCCTGGGAGACCGAGGCACAAAATTTACGGCCAGTTATTAGAGCGGTAGAGACCAGTATGAGGCGCAATTAATTTACTTTTTTTGGGTGCCTAGGCACAAATAGCATTATGCCTTCATGTTTCAATCTTAAAGAGCAAAAAAATTCCTACAAAATTTTTACATGCAGTACAGTTATGCGGAGAGAGAGTCAACCTTTGCATAAACTGACGCATTTTTACCTGTTGATCCGGTTGCATGCGGCTTTTTTAATCATAAGTGATCTAAATAGCTTGTGTACTGAAATTTGCCGTCAACTTTTAGCCTACAAATTTGTCTCCAATATTAAGTTTTTTTCTCCCCAAGTTTCTGCAACAATGATTCACCCCGACTTTCCGCATCAGAAGTAGGTATCGTGGGGACGGAAAAGTTGCATAATTTAAGGAAAAAGTAGTAGTGCCTTCACCTTAATCATACGTAGGAAATACAGAATAAAAGGAAGTTTAAATGCTTGAATGAAAATAAAGAAGTAAGTTGCGGTCAATTCAAATCAAGTCAGAATTCGAGGTGCAATAAAGTCGCATTTCTTACCGGTGAGATTTAAGTACTCCTGAATAACATGCACATTGAACCAGGGTTGCGCATGACAAGCTTCAAGCACGTCCAAAAATACATCCACAAACAGCCACATCGTGAGCGCGGACAAAATGCCTCCAATCCAATGAGCGGTCATCGTGACAGCCTGATAACACAGGCCTCGTCAAAATTAAAACTTTGTAGATTGAAATGCATGCGTTTCTTTTTGTGAATTTCCTCTTTGACAAAAATTATGTGTGAGCGTGTGTATTTCTTGTTGAAATAATTGTAAGTCGTGTGAATAAAGGGCTCTATAAGACGGTGGACGCATA